AGAGCAGCCTCCTCCAAGAAAAGCCACATCCTCCAGCTGCCCCAAGGCTCTGCTGCACCACACACATGCAGGGTGTATCCTTCATCTACAGCCATTTGGCTTTTAGGCTCCCAGGAGAAAACTTGCCCTTAATAGTTGTACTGTAAGCTTAAGTAGGGGAAGATATTTGGTGGGGGTGGGGGGAAGGAGTGCTGCTCCCACTCTTGAGCAGTGGCCTCAAGCTCATCCAGGCTGCTTCCTGGGCATGGAGAAAAAGCACTTGCGCAGCTTCACTGCAAACCCAGCTGTCAAGATGAGCCGTTTTCCATGTGCTTACGATATATACTGTGTTAGGGCCAGAGCTTGCGTGATTCCTGCCTATATAATTTATAATAATAGGAATAACTACACTAATAAAAGCTTCAGGTGTTCAGACCTGCCCAACCATAGCTGAATGACGCTAAGCTGTGGTCACAATGTAACACAATGTGGTTCGGTTGATATGCTGAAGGGAAGGGATGCCATTTTCTAAAATGAGGTATAGCTCCTTCTAGTGTGGTTTAGTTGTTATGCATTTATTTCATTTTTCTTTAGACTAATACTAAATTCATATTTCTACTAGGATATCTCTGCAAACACATCAGGGCTTACCATGCATTTTAGAGAGATTATTCAATATTCCTATAAGGCAGCCTCCTAAGTTAGCAGTCCCACGTGTTTAACCTTCTTAGTTGCTGCTGTGTAATCCACATGGAATAAAACTCCTCAAACATCATGCCAGCACGTAGGGATAATATATCTGTAATCAGAGTTGCAAACATAAATGCAAGTGTCATACCAAGTTCTGCTCTTGCTTGGCTCCATTTGATGTTGCAGGCTGGCTAAACATCAATGATTCTAGTCAATCTTCTCATCTACCTGCCAGATCTACCTGCCTGTGCCCACTTTAATGAACAGGTATTTCATTACAAGGTCTAGGAAGGCTGTCCAAGCAACACATCTTTTCTTCATATTTTTCTGCAACTTTAGAGCTACCATAGCAGGGAAACAATAACTACTGCAGTCCTGAAGTCAGAGGCTCTTGAGCAGTTTGTTTAATTGTTGTTCTCTTGTCTGTCATGCAACACTCCAAATAATGTTTTCCTGCAATTCCTTTTACAGGAGGGAAAAGGCGCCATCATTTTTCTCGTCAGATGTGTGTTAACAGTTATATCAGATACATCCTTTAGGACTGCCATTGTGTCTTACGCCAGAAGCATAACTACCACATAGCACTAGTAGATTGTCCTGCTATGTCATATCACATTTTTCTTCAGTTGTTTTATTGTCAGACAGGCAGTATATTTCTCTCTCCCTGACAGGGACATGTCACCATACATCAAGAGGAAGAGATGCACCAAAAGGAGAAAACCTGTGTGATGCTTTACTCAGCAGCTGGATCTGCAGCTGTTGAGGTCAAGAAGTGCTGGTTCCTGAGCTGCAGTCTGGGATGAGAAGAGGAAAGGTCACACAACCCCTGCAGTTGGGAAGCTCGCCCCTGTCACCCCTGCACACAGACATGGGGAATGTAGGATATGGAGACTCTCTTCTGGGGAAGACATAGTATTCATTTGCTAAACAGACCCATCATCTAACAGCTCACCTCCTCACAGAGACAAAATCCATGATATTGTGAGAAGTTACTACTGCTCACTCAGCTCTGGCTACTTTACGTATCCTTGTGGGCAAAACCACCAGCACTAGGTGTGCTAGCACTGAAAATCTGCGGAAACAATGACGAAGGAGCCAGGGATGCTGTCCTCCATCCCACCAGCTGCAGCTTCTGAGCTGCACAAATGGTGTCTGCAGAAAGTCTCTGACACTAGAGAGTGTCCAATGCAGAGTAACTGCAGGACAACCCTAGAGTCTATCTGCTAAAAACAAGCAGATCTTCCTTTAGTGAGGAAGAGTTTAAAGTAAAGACAGACAGTAACAAAATTCAGTGAGTTAAAAAACTAATGCCCTAGCCAAAGTCCGAGGGAAAACAAGGAGAATAACCAGTCAGTATCATAAACTTCAGAGGTATCTCCTCGCAGATGTCAGAAGTACAAGGTTAATGAGAAATAAATAAAAGCAATGCAAATTTCAGGAAGAAATTTCAGGAAATGCAGTCAGGGTATTTCTGAAAATAATCTAAGGGATAAAAGATTGCAGGGGATCTGTCCTTTTGAAAACCAAACCAGCTACAACTACCTTTTCTGATTAGAAGAAACATAGGAGCCATCCTCAGACATATGTGGCCTGGCTTATTCACAAGTACGTAATGACCTAAAACTCAAAAGGGAATACAGGCAAAAGGATGTATGAATAGATGAAAAGAAAGAAATGGTGTCAGCCTGCAGATAACAGAATCAGAAATGCTAAGGCGTGATATCAGTTTCAACTATCATGGCATATAAAAGATAACCAAACAAGTTTAATAAAAGAATTAGAAATTAAAATAAGACAAAGGAAATGGCAGTCATTAAATAATGCAGAAACAGCCCATAACAAGTAAAGGCAGGAGTATGGTAATACTAACTCCAAATAGGTCTAAAATCAGTGTGAAAAATGGATAGAAGCACAGTTCAGACCAGGAAAAGAACAAGTGAAATATATTTCAGAAAAAAAGCTGTGTCAGGACCCAATGAAACTTGCTCTGAAGTCTACCAGGCCCTAGCAGAGGCAATTTGAGATAATCAGTGACTATCCTCTCCATGGAGATATATGGCAATTCAGCACTGGATAAAAGCAAGTGTCTGAAAAGAAGGGGTTTACAACAACCCAGCAAATTTTAAATCAAATGGACTACTTCTGAGATATATATATAAAAAAAAAAAAAAAAGAAAAAAAAAAAGAAAAAGCTAGAATAACTAAAGAATCCGTTAATGTTCACCTAGGGAACAACATATGTAAAAGTGCGCCTAGCATGGACCTGTCAAGAGCGCCTCATGTCAAATCCAATCTAATATCTCTATTGAACAGGCCAGGGGGTAAAAGGGAAGCTGTGAATGTGATAAATTAAGCTGAATTTTTTTATAGCTTTTGACATCCTTTGAAGAAGCCTAAAAAAATAGTATGGAAATGAAACCACTATATATACACACAGAACTGCAGCAAATACAAACTTCAAATCCTTGCCAGCTGCTTCTGTTGTGTAACTGGTAAAGCCTGTCATGTGGGACTGGTTTCTCCTGGGCACGTTTCTAGTTAATGGTTTTTCCGTTAACTACTTCAAAAACAAAATGAGATTCTCCCAGAGTTAGGGAATGGTATTACCAGTGTGCTGCTGGTAAGGCTTTGACTGGGACATGGTGACCCTTGTTCAGGCTATGCCTTAAGAAAGGTGTAAACAAAAACAGAGTAAGCAAAAGGTTAAAAGACTTAAAAGGCACAGTCTAAGAGAATAATCTGAAGGAACTTGTTTACTCCAGGAAGAACGACTAAAGAACACCACATTCCAATGCAGACAGGTATTGGGGGTTTTCCATACAGAGTTAAGAAAAAAATAATTTTCAGTCAAGGAGAGTAAAGCTACATTTTTAGGTAAAACTGTAGCTGTAATATTAACAACTGAGCCTGGCCATATAGGATATGTAGACTCCCACTACATGAGATTTTTGTTCAAACACAGCGAACTGATTTCCACAGACCTCTCTTCTGCCAGCACAAGTCAAATCAAAACGAATAAATGATTCTTTGAGACCCTGTTCAGATTCACATTGCTGCTTTCAAACGAGGAGTCTAAATAGTCCACAGAAATATGGTGGGCTACAATTTGGCTTTTCATAATGCAGGGGAATGGCTTTTTGTAACCAAAGGGGTTAAAACTCTTCCTCCCACACACAGCAAAGCCAGGGGTGGTGGTGGTGAAGTATCGCATCATATGCTAAAATTCAGAAAGAGAGGACACGCAGTGCTTTTCCTCACACCTACTGCTCTCCAAGGAAGCAGTCGGGGGGGAAAGGGTGCAGATCTCTTACTTAATTTTCTTTTCCTTTCTTCTCCCGCTCTCAGCGACATCCTGCAGGGAGCAGGAGGGCAGCAGAAGGAAATAAGCAACCATGCATGGCCTCCAGGGCTTCTTGCAGAACATGGGCATGCCCCAGGCTGCACTTTCAGCCCAGTTCTAGACTGTAAAAACTGCAAGTCTTTGGAAAGCAGAGGTAAACATCCATTTTCACTATCTCTAGTGCAATGAGCAAAGATAAAAGATGTAATTCACACACAGGTGTTTATATGGCCCAAACTTTATGGAGACAGCATTAGCAGGGTTAGAGTTTATCTCCCCTTCTAAATAAGTAACCTCTGCTCAGGTACAAAATAGAAAGTGCTGGTGAGAGGCGGGATCTTAAAGCATTTCAGGTCCAGAGGGAAAGGCTGAACTGTTGCACTGCTCTGTCACAACCCGGTATTCCCAGCTCCAAACACTGCAAGTCCATCAACTGGACTCTTAAAAAAACACACCAAAACAAAAACATAGGACTATCTTAAATAATGAAAAGAAAATCACTGAAGCAGTCACAGGCCCTCCTGACACCCGCACACCCAAACAGCCCTCTCACACCACTGACACCCCACCACCGCCAGCCCTATAGCAGCAACACGCCTGACACTCAGAGAGGCGGGGCAAGACAATGCTGGGGGGCGGGATGCGCCCCTCATCAGCCAATGGGAAGCCACCAGCTGCTTCCGGGTAGCCAATAGGAACTTGGAATGCCGTCGTGCGGCTCTGCCCTACGGGCTGCAGAGGAATGCTGACAGTTCAACCACCGGCGACCCTCCTCTTCGCGGTTTGCGACAATTTCTCCCCCTCCTCCCTCCACGTTGCTTTACGGCCTTTCCCCCTCCCCACGGTCACCTTCTCTGTTTCGGAGGCCGGGAGGAGGGAGGCGGGGCCGCTGCGGCCAATAGGTGCCAAGAGCGCCATGGTGACGTAGGGGGCGGTGGTGAGGGCGCTGCCGTAAAGCGGGCGCCGGCTCGGTGGGGTGAAGGAGTTGTCACTGGTGCCGGTAGTGGTGGGAGGCGCGCGGGCTGGGCGCTACCTGCTGCTGAGGGTCGCCATGGCGGGGGCGCTGGGCCGCAAGGCCGTGGACTACCTGCGCAGCAAGGAGTTCAGGGACTACCTCATGAGGTGAGTGGAGCGCGGCTCGGGGGTCGTTGCCGGCTGCCGCGCCCGCCTCTGCCTCGGGTGGCTTCACTCCTATTTTGCCTGGGCGGGCAGTGGCGACCGGCGTCTCTTCCCTAAGCTCTTCTACCCGTTGTCTTGGGGCACCCGAGATGGTGGCTGCGGCCGGGCGGTGTCGCTTGACCTCTACCAAGCTCGCCCTCGGCGGTAGTTGCGCGGGGCAGGAGGGAGCGCGGGAGGGCGAAGCCGGCCCGGACGTGCTGGTGTGGATGGCGGAGGGCAGCGAGGCGCCCCGTGCCTTGCGGAGGCTGTCGGGGCTGTCAGCCGCCCGCCCCACCGCGCGGAAACCGGGCTTGACCTTGAAGCGACGCGGCACGGTTTGAATCTGCGGCAGCTGTACTTCAGTGTGACCTTTCCTCTGTCGGCTGTGGGACCAGCCCGGAGCGGTGCCCTGTCTCCGGGGCAGGTGGCAGCAGGCGCAGGAGCCGGGGATACGGGCCCTCCGGCCGCTGCCTGCAATCAGGGCAAAAGCAGCTTTGCTCTTATTGTGTGCAGAAGCGAGTTTAACAGATGCGGTCCTGAGACCGCATATTTAAGTGTCTATGTGTAAATATGTACGTTTTCCAGAGGCTTGTTAAAGCCCCGATTTCATGGGCACGTGGCTTTAGTCACTTCTCAAACAGCTCAGTACTTTTTTTGTCAAGCTCCAGCTTGTGTGCTCTGGTGAGAGGAATGGCATCGCGAAGTGAAATCACAGGAATCTCCTAAAGATGCACTTGCAGCGTGTTTGCTTAAATCTGGTGGAAATGCTTATGGAGTGGTCTCGAATAGAGATTCTTTGGCTGACAAGCAGCTTGACAAAGAAAACAAATAAAAATGGGCCCTTCTAATACAGGTGGTTGAGCAACCTTTCAGTATAGGTGTTGCTTGCTGTTCTACCTACATGTATTTCAACTGATGTTTGATATTGAGCAAGTATGTAGGCAGGCATCTGTTTATCTGAGAAACAGTCTTGGTGAAAGTAGCAGATGGTGTAAGCCTGCATGGAAGAGGGATTATAATATAACAGTTTAGGAAACAAAAGGGTTTGTTTGGCACTTGCAAAATCAAGTTCCATCGAGACAGTGGGGCAAAAAGATGAGTTATGAGAAGGAAGAGAACATCCCTGAAGCAAAACAAAAGAAGGTTAAATCAGGCTTCTGTGTGGATTCCTTCTGAAAGTCTTCATGATATTATGTAAGCTTTATAGGTGCGCTTTGATGTTAACATTTAGTTCACTGAATAGAATTCAAGTAAAGTAGATAAATAGCTAGCAAAGCAGCAGTATGCTTCATACCTAAGAAAACAAACAAACAAAAATCCAGAGAAGATAATGGCAGCTTCTGAACACCACCACAGTTACTTGCTGGAAATATGTATGTTCTTGATGAAGACTGAAAAGGTAGACAAAATAAACCTTTTCAGGATATTTCATCCTATTTCTAGTCTTGAAATAAGCTATAAGACTGTATTGCAAAAAAGGATAAGTCTCTGGTATTCTAGTGTTGCGTACAAAGATACCTGGTTAATTTGCACTTCTGAGCGTCATAAGAGCTAAAGTCAGTGGTTCTGCATGGTATGGCCTTTTACCATTGTTTCTTGCTTACTTGTTTAAGTTGTTGCCTTTATGTTGAGTTTAAAATTTAGATAACATGTAAATAAAAGACCACAGTCTGTCTTCTCTATAGAAGGAATAGAGTGTATGTACTTTGAGCTGTTATCTCGTTACATTCTTTCCTGAAGGTTTTTGCTTCCCCAGACTGTGGGATTATCCTGAAGAAAATTATAGTCTTGCTGTGCTCATTGAGTAAGAGTTTTTCCTCAGAGCTCTAAGATTATGGTATCTGCTCTAAACATCAGCATCTAATGACTGCAGTGAAGCAAGGGCTTATAAATGTGAAAGTTTTTTATGGGAAATGATGAATTGAGAGATTGCTTGTGATACCAGTATTTAACTGTAAAATCCTTGACCCCAAATAGAATAACTGAAGTTACACAAAGAGGTGGAATTGCATGTTCCATTATTATGGCTTAGGGCAATCAAAACTTGCAGACCTCTATTGAAGTAAGTAGCTTCAGTTTCAGCTTTATAACTTGAAAACATGAAAGCAAGCATAATGAATGCATGCTGCCTTTCTCAGGTGGATATATCTGGCAATAGACTTGCATTACATCAGGTTAGCTTTTGGATCATGCACAAAGAACCAAGATAAATTGCTTTTAAAACTGTCATTAATAATTAATTATTCTGTCAATTTCAAATCTGGCTTCTCCTAAGTGGTGATTAATAGGGATCTGAATGACTGTAAATCATGTAAGTACGCATTTACCCTAACTGTTGTCTTTAATGCTTTAAAGTCAACTTAGAATGTTAGCTGTAGTTAGGCTTTTGGTTCTTGTAAAATGCAGCAGTAATGTTAATGTAAAACTTGCTGATTGGCCTGTGAAAGTCTGGTAGCTCTATATATTATGATCTTGAAGTTGCATGGGTTTTTTTTCTATAGATCCTAAAAATGTCAAATGTCACTAAAGTTATATTATCTATTCCATTAATAGTATGCAACTGAATCCTCTTACTTTCTCTTCTAATGATTTAAACCAATAGCTTCTGAAAAACATCGAGTGAAGCAGCTTTCTCTTTTTTTGAAAGAGATCTATATACACCACTCTAGGCAAGTTCTGGCATTGTCTTGTGGTAGAAATGTAAAATACTTGAGTTGCGTAAGGAATACCAAGGAGTCCCAAAATCTTCCGGTAATAGAAATATAAGCATGGAGACTTAGGTCTTCTGAGGCACTTCTGAAATATCTCTTCCTGATGACTCAGCAATAATGCAAATGTAGTTATTGTTAATTTAGGTGGCTTTGAAATAGTTCCTTCCTTGTAAAGCTTGAGCACTTACATTGATGTAAACTGTCTAGGACCTTTCTTTTAACTGAAATGAACTTTAGGAGAGTTAGCATTGGTAATATAAACAGAATTAACTGATATTCTGTTTTCATTAGTAAATATTTAAACACAAGAACATTTAAAAAAAAAAAAAAAGTCCTCTACTTCCTCTACTGGTCTGTGTGAGAAACTGAAGGACACTGTTCCTGCTGTCTCAGTCTTGTATGCTCCGAGAATTGAACAATCTTTTGCAGAAGGGTAATACCATCTCCTCTTAGGGGATGGCAGTGTGGGGGAACAGAGGGGTGACACTTCATCTGTATTTGCAGGATGGCCTCTGGCCTGTTAATATCCTGATTACCAGTATGAAGAAAATACATACGTGAAATTTTTTGGAAAAAAATAAATCTTTCTCAATATAGCCATTTTGGAGTGAATTGTAGTAGCAATGTAAGGTGTTGATCAGCTGTCAGTTCCTCTTGTTATGTCCAGGGACTTATACAGAAGGCAGACGCACAGAAACTGGATGGGTAAATTCAGCAACTCTTCCCACAGTTCTGGAAATGTTAGTATGAAGTGTTCCCTTTGTCAGGGGATTCAGTGTAGTTCTTCATAACTGCTAATTTGAAATGGAGTCAGGAATAAATGAGCACACTTGTTGCAGTGTCCTTGCTATTGGTTATGGTGCATTTGTTGTAGCTGTATTGGCTGTAGAGCTTTGGGGCTGGATGCCTGCTTCTGTGATTCTATATGACCTTTATCTGCTCTCTTGAGTATAATAACTGTACCAGTCTCACGTGAATGTGAGGATGATCTTAGCCAGAGCTGCCTACTCTGTTAAAATAGCATCACTTTGATTCTATTTTAGGCTTTTACTTGACTGAAAACAACTTCCAATTTAAAAATCAAGGCTGACTTTTGTTGGCACAAACCCAAGCATGCCAGGAGACATATTTGAACTTGCTTATTTAAGTTTTTATTGGGGTGGGGGGGAAGTATGCAGTTGTTTACTTCATTTAACTATTGCTGCAGTTCAGTTAATAAGAAAACAACAAGAAAAAGTGGTTAGACTAATCAAGGACACTAAGCATCTTGTTACAAGCCACAGGCTGATTCAAAGGCAGCCAGTGTGACTGCCTGAGTTAGACCTGGCTGTTCCCTTGCCATAGCTATTTGTATAACAGTGCTCTAAGAATATGGAAATCAGTGTGAGGGAGGTGACTTAAGTGTTCTGCAGCAGTAGGCTTTCTGTTAGTAGCTGGTTTCTTGTAAGTCATGATTTAAATGGAGTCCTATCAGTATCTTTGGAAAAAGGATGCTTAAAAATTCTGAAACGTTTTAAAAAGAGTAGCAAGCAATCTTAAATATATGCTGTAGTCTAGCTTCCATGTTAGTTATTACATAACTTGGTACCTAGATGATCACTTAAATGAACCCCATACATGACTGGAGTGTAATTGCATGTTAGACCACTGAAAATATGTATATTACATCACTGAAAATATAGCTTATGTCTGGTACAGCCACGGTTGGACTAAACTTAGTAACAGATCTTTGGCAGTATTTGGTTTCACCTACTTATGTAGTACAACGGATGTATGAAGAATTCCAAGTTCTTTAAAGCTCCCACAGGAACTGTAGCTGTTTAGTTTTGTCATGACAAACCTTGTTGTGTCAAAAATGTTTGTCCTTTTAAACTAGTTGGGGTAGCATCTCAGATGCTTTGAAGACTATAGAGGATAAATGTCTTCCACAGACTATAACAGGATTTTATCTTGCTATGAAAAAGATACTAGGCAGCCAACAGTTGTCACAAAGACAGCTCTTGAGAGAAATGGAATTTTTAATACTGCTACGTTAATCAAGGTTAATGGCATCACAGTTTTCTGACTCCTACCTATCTTCAGTTTGTGATGCACTTCTCATTATGCTGATTATGAAAGAAACTAACACTTTTTTTCTTCTTTCTTCCATGTAATTTTTGAATGGAAAATGATGGCCCACTTCAACAGTACGGTAAGAAAAGGGGGGGGGACTTCTAATTTCAAATATGACTTCAGTAACTTGCAGCCTTTTTTCCTCAGCACTGTTATGATCTTGGTTGCATCTGAAAGTATACTGCAGACTTCCAGGAGTGATGCACTAGTAAGAGTTAATTTGCAAACGTTTTAATTTAAACATTAGCTCCTTCACAATGTCTCCTAAAGCAATCACTACAAAAGTAAAGGGGCTTAATTTTTTCCATACCCTTTGATACAGAGATCAGGTGGAGCTATAGCCATTCTTCTGCATAGCGACAATACTGGTTCATAACCAAACTACCTGGTTTATTTTTTAACCAGCTTTATGTTACCATTTATTGCCTGACATAATAACTCTCACTTTGGACTCTTTTCTTCAGTCTTTTAGTTTGCTTCTGAAACTGGGAGTGGGTGGTTTTCTTTTTTATGTGTGTTATACTGTGAATTATAATGTTATGGAGGACTGGCTCATCTGTGTAGACCAGAGGCAAACTGTATAGGTGTAGTTTAATTCTTGTGTTGAAACTTCAAAGGCTGGCTGCCTGGAGGCACTTAAAACTGGATAACCATCTCAAGTGAGCAGGTTCTAAGTCTACCTCCCTGGTCAGCAGAGGAGAGTTACTGCTGCAGTGCTCCTGGGATATAAACTGATGATTCTTCAGCTTGTGCAGCCTGAGCCTGAAGTGATCCATAGTCTATGATGTGTTATTTGTCTGTTCTAATAGCAGTTGAATTAAGTAAGAAAAAGTCATCACTAGGACTTCCAGATCTGTTTCATAGATTCAAAAAGTCAAGCTTAGAGCTGTAAAGACTTATTCTTCTGAAACTACAGTTCTTTAAATAAGACTCCTGGAATGACTAAAAACCTCAATGAGTACATGAACTGCCTTACCAGTTCTCGTTTCCAGTCTGCTATAGTGTGGTAATGCTTACACAAGTTGTCTTGCTGTCTTACTGTATAAATAATTATAGTTATGACTAGATGTTTGTTTCTGGTTCTCTTGCTGTACTTTATTTAAATAGCTACATTAAAGCCTCTAAACTTATTTAAACAATATGTTGTGTGCTCATGACTGTTTTCTATGAATGTTTTTGTTGCAACACCTTGTGTGTAAGTGGTGTTACTTTTTTTTTTTACATTATTTAATTATAGCTGTACAGTCTAAATGCAGTGTAGCCATGCAACTTCTCAGTTATTCCATGGTACCTCTCACATACTTGAGAGGCTTTAACCATTAGATGTCAATTTTCCTATCAGTAGGAATATAGTAAACAAATGCGTTTATTGTATCTTTTGACATACTCTTATTATAAACCTAGGTTTGGATCAGTGTCAGTTCTGTAGACATTTGCAGAAATATGACATTGTTTTGCATATTGCACTTAAACTTTCAAAATGACGTGTACCACTCAACTCACTTTTTCTATGCTTTTTTTCTTTTTAGTTCAGTTTCTTGTATTGCAGCCCAAATCTGCAGGAAGCAGGCATGGCTTTTAATACTACTGTAGTGTTGACAAGCTAGTATCCAGACTGGTTAGAGTATTTTGAATGAAAATTGCAAGAAACTTAAATGTTGTCTAACAATTCAAAATTGTTGCGGTATCTTCAGTGTTCCATTTTAGAGGAAGTATCAAAAGAATGGATAAAGTTGGAATCTACAGAGCTTTTTCTTGCAAGGTGCTTCTCTTTTTCCATATCTGGACAAGTTACTTTTGCACATCCATAGTTTCCCATTAGGAGAAGCTGATTCAAGTACTGCATGCATATTCTGTGGAAGGAATGCTACTGAAGGCTTTTTAACTTGTAGCAATAGGAGATATTTGACTCAGGAGACTATTCTTCTCAGTCTTTCAGACAATACCCATCAAATTGAGCTCTCATCAGTTTTTTTTAATTGATTCTTTCTGCTTCTTGTCTCTGTTTTTCTGTGTACATACCTGTAGCCAACTGCTCTAATCTTAGATCTGTCTAATCACTGAGCTTTAGGTAGCCATCAGGTTGTTTTGGCAATTGCAGATGAAGTTTTAGGTAACAGCTTGGTTTGGTTGCATGGCCCTGCTCTTTCAAGAGGTGTTGTAAGCACTTGGAAGAAGCTGCTTGATGAGCATTTCTTCATCCTAGGCATAACGTGAAAACAGTTCCAGTTCTTCAATTCAGCAAGTCCTTGTGTTTTCATTACATTTTTGAGGAGCCTTATTTGAAAGAGATGAATACTAATTCTCTGCATGGAAGTGAGCTGTAAATCATTGTTATATGATTATACTGATCAGACTGCTCAGTGATGGCTGAGGTATAATTACACAAAACTGCATTTCAGTAGTTCCTCTCCAGTCTGCAAGAAGATTCAGAGTGGGTTCCTGTTCCTTCCACCCTGAAGGCTAGATCCTGCTGAAAGAAGGGTTTTTTTTAGTTTTTCTCCCTTATGTCGAAAGTAGTCTGTATCTTTACATGGAATTTTACCATTAACCCTGTCCTCTGAAGCTTTGTGTGGCTAAGGAGATCTATAAGAATACCATAGGAGGTCTGTGTTTCTGTATAACTTTATTTTCATTTTCTGTCTTTGCAGCACTTTTGGGGGCCAGTTGCCAACTGGGGACTTCCTATTGCTGCTATTAATGATATGAAGAAGTCGCCAGAAATCGTTAGTGGCCGAATGACATTTGGTAAGACCCAAGATAAACTAATTGTTAATAAACAGACTACAGCACACACATTTTCCTTTCAGGTTTCTTTCAGGCAACTAATAATTTGTCAAGTGGTGCATTACTAGTTGCCTGCAAACTTGTGATTAAAGCAGATACAGATATCAAATATCTTGTTATCGGACTTCAGAGGCCACTTGAAAACTGAGGCACTGGAAAGTTGTAGAGTGGTGGGTTTTGGGTTTTTTTTTTCCAAAAAGCTGTCCCGTAATTTGGTCTTGAATCTCGGCAGTTTTGATCACCAGACTTGCTCCTAAAGAACAATTCTTTTAGTGTCTTATACTGCTATGCACACTAGTTCAGAATGTACTTGTTTCCCTAACTTTATTCTTTGTATGAAGAACAATGATGTTTTATGGTTAGTGTGAGACTTAAATACCAATACTGACAAAGTGAAGAAATGGCAATGGTTGATCTTCAAAGTGCAAAAAGCAGTTAAGGGAGAGGAACTCCTTGCAAAGCAGTTGCCTGTGAGAGGCTAGTGTCATTCTTAATGGAATAGTGAGAAGTATTTTTTCCACCTTTTCTGGACTATGTGTAGCTTTTTGCGTATATCTCTGTCCCTACATTCAAATTCTTCTGTAGTATCATAAATCTGGTAGCTTTAATTTAGTAGCTTAATTTTTGGTTACTTTCTTCCTTAACTCAGTTAATAATTGTGATTAATTCTTCTTTTCCCAAGCAAATAGCTTTGGGTTATGCAAATTTACACTAGGTTCTGCTTACTGCTTACAGTAATTCAGTGTCCTAATCAGCTTCTTCAGTATGGAAGACCGCTTAGAATAGTCTCTGGCATAGTGAAACTGTTTTGCAAATAGTGTTTTGGTGGCAGCTACCCAGTTCAGCCAAGTTGAGACATGCTTAATTTTTATATATATACATAGGGTGGTGTGTGTACAAATGTTTTTCTCCCATCTTTTAGGTTCTGTACTTTAAAAGAGACCATTTTCCTTGGACAGTTAATTTCACTTTTTTTTTTTTTTTCTTTAAGCCTGCCAGAACTTTGCAAAGCTACTGACATCTTTGGTTGTAATTTCCTGTATTTAAATGCAATTATGACAGAGTAGATTAAAATTGCTTCTTACATTACTGGAAAGCAGATAACAAAGCTTTATGCTTCTCAGTGTTCATGATTTCTTGGGGATAGAAACTGCCTTCTCTTAAAAGTCCATTTTAAAATGTTCCCAGCAAGAACTGTATCTAAGTAATTAGTATTTTAAAAATACTCTGTCCTAGAAGTTGTCAGAATAATTGTATAAAACAGGCCATGTCTCATTGGGATTAACTCTTCTCTGCCTGAGATAGTTTAGGTAGTCTTGTGGTTTAACCCCAGCTGGCAACTAAGTACTGCACAGCTGCTTGCTCACTTCTTCCCTTCCCCCAGCTCCCTCTGTGGGATAGGGAGGAGAATTGGAAGAAGGCAAAACCTGTGTGTTGAGATAATAACAGTTTAATAACTGAAAGTAAAGCATAATAATAAAAATAATAGGAAAAAGAGAAGGGAGTAAGATTCAAGAAACAAGTGATACACAGTACAGTTGCTAACCACCCACTGACCAATGCTCAGTATGTTCCCAAGCAGTGATTGGCTGCTCCTGGCCATCTCCCACCTCCCCCCTCAGTTTATATAATGGGCGTGATGTACCTGTTCAGGTAGTTTGGATCAGTTGTCCTGTTTCTGCTCCCTCCTGGCTTCTTGTGCCGCTCCTCACTGGCAGAGCATGAGAGACTGAAAAGTCCTTAATCAGGGAAGGTACTATTTAATAACAACTAAAACATTGGTGTATAATCAACATTATTCTCCTACAAAAGCCAAACCACAGCACTGTACCAGTTACTAGGAAGAATGTTAACTCTATCCCAGCTGAAGCCAGAACAGGTAACCAACTAAAGACTCAGTTGTATCACAGGAAAGCATATGAGGGAACAGTTTTTTTGTGGAAAGCTATAGCCCTGTAGATATTTTTGTGTTGCAGAAATGAGTACTGGTGTATATTTTCCTTCATTGGGTCATTAATGTGGACATGTTTGTAGGACTGTTGGGAAACTTAAAAGAAGTGGGAAGCATTGTAACTGTCATTACATTCCACTAGTATGAAAATTATGTCTCAACAAAATGCAGGTATTAAAAATCTACTAATGATATCTACCATGTTTTGCAGCACTCTGTTTTTACTCTTTGGCTTTCATGAGATTTGCCTACAAAGTGCAGCCAAGGAACTGGCTTCTTTTTGCATGCCACTTCACTAATGAAATTGCACAACTTATTCAAGGAGGACGACTGATCAAATACAGGCAAGTTACATATCAAAAAATGGAAGTCATAAACTGATGGCTCTTGGAATACTCTGTTAGTAGATTTCTAACTGTAGTGGAAACCCTTGCATGGCTTCTGAACTTGTGTAACATCATTACCTTTTGAAAACCCATTAACAAGCTTGTTGTCAGTAGGCTAATTATGACTTGTTGCCTTGCACTCCCTTTGACACTTCCGAGGGATACACAGAAAAGACTGAAAACCCTTATGTTCATGGATGTAGATAGGTCTTATGCAGCTGCTGGCTACTCTGGGGTTTGTTTCATGTATTATGTTGATTAGTCTGCATGTGTCAGTCTCAGTAACTAATTTTTGAGATGGAAACATTGGAAGGGGTTGTATATCTGAAACAGAAATTAAGGAAAACCTCTCTAAGCTGACCCTTCTATATGTCAGGTAGATACAACTGAGTGTGACTGAGGACTAGCCTGCAAGCAGTCTCACACCCTCATTGGGTAGCAAGTAGTGCAGACACTGCCCTAGGCAGTGATCATGAGTCAGGATTCTGGCTCTTTTTACTTTGGATCCAAGAAATTGATGGGGAGTAATGGGATGATGAAGCCTCCTGAACTATAAATTAAAAAGTGAGCAAAACTGCAAATGAACATGCTTTTCCATAAGTAACTGGCCAAATGTCTTTCATTACTGAAGTTCTGTTTTAAGTCCAGACTCTTTATAGCAATTCTAGTTAAATAATCACTCCTGTAAAACTTTATCTTCTCTTGGCAGATTTGAGAAAAAGAACTAAATATCTAAGTTGAAGTAAGCCATGGAATATGCTTATCCTGAATTACAACCAAGGAAGACTTGCCATCTACAGTTCCTGTGACAGTTACAATGGGGTTGAAACAAACACCTATTATGAATGACCCCATCAAGAATCCTACTGATTTTTTTTATCTTGCCTTTTTGAGAATAATATTCAGCAATGTAAACCATTGCATTTGAAGTTTTGCTGCCTTACAGGTCCTTAATAACTACCCTTTGAATAAAAAGTTAGACATCTGAATAACAAGCAATATTTGAAAATCAACTTTTTTCTAACAGTCTACAAAAGCGGTGTATGATGGCTTAGTAACTGTAGGTGGTATCATGGTATTAAGATTCTTAAAAGCCATTTAACTTGGGTGCATTCATTCCTGTCTCTTTTTTTTTTTTTTTTTTTAACTTAAGCAGTGGCTTGCTAATCTACAAGAACAAATGTGTAGTTAGGCAGCCTGGAAGTGACCGGCTATCCTTCTTCCCTTACTGCATGCCTTGTCTCAGTAAAGAGACTTCATTAATACCCGTTTTTAAGTCACACATTATTTTAAGAGGACTTGGAAGAGCAAAAGCATAGCACTGAATGAATGAAAGCAACAAGGTCTGGTACTGTTCTTTAAGAAGTTCTAAGTAGATTTTATTTTTTCCTACTATTTGAGTTGCTCTAGATGTATGTAATCCTTACACAGACAAAAACTTAATTTGTTTGGAGTCTAAGATCTGAAAGACACAAGGTGCCTTTCAGTAGTTTTTTATGTCATTGGGAGAGTGGCTTCCCTGCATGACCTGCCTGAAAATTACATTGCTGTAAAGATATAGATAACAAAGAATGTACGTGATGGATTTTATTTCAGTTCAGTGTTTTTGAACAATAAACATGTTCCAAATGGCAATAAATTCTTTCAACATTTTGAAAAGCTTTGTCATATTGTGATACTAGATCCTGAACTGAATTTTCAGTATGGGGTATCAGTTAATTACTGTAACAGCATTAAGCATAAACAGGCTGGAAAAGTAAGTTATTATCCTTTGTATATACTATGTTTAGGCAAGTGTCCTCTGGATCTTAACACCTATCACTTCTCTGCCACCCCCAAAAAAAGAGTGTGGGTACCTGACTGAGTATTCTTGCTGTGATAGTCAAGGTTGAATTCAGGGCTCTCATTGTGCTGAGTAAGTATTGCATATTGTCTGCTAGAAATAAGGTGGTCAATTAAAAGATTTGCTTTAATTGTAGACTGGTATTGTGATCCAAATTGCACAGTGGCTTAATTTTGTAATGGGCATACATGAGGCTTATAGTGCATGCTCTGCTGTATAGGTAAAACTTAATACTGACTGCTACTTGTTGCTTTAGAAAAGTTGGTGCACTGAGCTGTTCTTTCAATACTGCTGTCGTGTGACAGAAGTAGTCATCTTCTTTCCATCCCCATCTCACGGAATAGAAGTGTTAGACTTGTGTATAAATGAGTGAGATGCAAGCAGATAAGGATAACCGATTATCTTGCCACCTTGTTCTCTTATTTCTGGAGAAAAAAAAAAAACCTCTAGGAGTGTTAAACTTCAAAGGTATGAAATGTGGTGGTTTTGTCTGTTCTTGGGTAAAGTTTGTAATACATGTAATACTCTAACCCTACATGGTGCTCTTATCTCTGTTCATTAGCTGTTGACTGTCTTAACTTCCCCACCTAAGGAATACTGTTTACAGGACTTTATTTCCTTATTTTCCTGGTAGTTCCCTGCACAATAGTTTCTTATGTATTTCTTTCTACTTTTTTCTTCCATACCTTTCTATCCATTCACCATGACAAGGCTCAAGTTCTTTCATACTGGGTAAGTACAAAAGTGAATTGCAGGTGGAAAGTGGACTCTAACTTGCTTTGAGATTTTAAACCTGTGATTCTTCCTGTGATCCATACAGGCTTCTACAAAAAAAAAGGGAATGGGTGGAACAAAGCATCCTTCATGGGACTTCAAGGGACAAAGCCCTAGCCTGGGATGGAGAACTCAGGCCTGGGGATGGGTGTCTCACAGCCCATCAGGTTGTACAATAACAGAAATGTTTCTATGTGCCCACGAGCTGGAAGCTTGCTGATTTGAGTCAAATGTGGAGGTCATTTGGTAGCGCTGTAATAAATAGACAGAAAGCGATAATTGTAATTGTGGGGTCAGAAGAGTTAACACAAGGCTTCTTTAATGAGTGTAACAACAGCTGCCTATAGTGAATTTTGTTCAACTTCACAGAATCACAGAATCCCAAGGGTTGGAAGGGACCTCAAGAGATCATCTGGTCCAAAGCCCCTGCAAGAGCAGGGTAACCTAGAGTACATCACACAGGAAGTTGTCCAGGCGGGCCTTGAATATCTCCAGTGTGGGAGTCTCCCCTGGACTTCCCACAATTCTTATGCTATATAATCATTTAAGCCATGCTGCCATGTATGGTGTGTGTATATATATATTTTTGAATTTTGTCTCTATAACTTGTGTGAACAAGTGAGCTTTCTCTACTCTAAAACCAGCAGAAAACACTCAGCCACAGTACTGCACATACAGCCTGACAGTTCTCAGAGAAAATGCATTCTTAGTAAAACATAGTTCTCCACTAGCATCGTGAGTTATCTTTTGTTCTCCCTACAAAGCACAATGATGCTATCTGAGCAAGGACGCCAATACAGAGAACTGGAGGGGGGAAGGGACAGAAAAAGTCTCAATATGTTTACAGATTGAGAGAAGGCTGCAAGAAAGAAAGAGTCCTTTGCTCCCTGGGACCAAGACAGATTTTGATATAGAAGTGTTTATAAAATACAGTATCAGATTAGAACAGAGCAATTTTCTCAACTACTCCAGTGCCTTCCCTGAGCTAAAATGACAGGCTACCAACAATATAAAATGGTAACAGGAAAGACTTATAAGCACAGTCACCGGCTGTGTTAGCTTTTCAGCCTGTATATCACTGGGTATTTTGATCCCGTCTGCAATTGGGCAACAATGCTATCTAATGTAGTATGTCTACGGCTGTGCTTATATAAAGCTGGAGTATTTCTGCTGTTAACTTATTCAGACACTAAAATGTTTATTCTGATTAAATATGATTGCTGCAAGCTTCACTATTTATAAAGTGGAAAAACAAGCATTCTGGTGTTCTAAAATGAGGTCATTGCTTTATTAAATGAATTGTGAGAAATCTTTCCCTACTGGATACCTTTCTGCCTTAGCTGATATAATAGCTGCCAGTGCATTGTGTTTAGTCACTGTGTTAACCACTTAAAAATAACCAATGTCTATAGAATCAACCCTAACTACAAGGCAAAAATACTGGCTTCCTGGATAACCTGCTCTGTGTGTTATCACTGAAGTCTTGCTCCTTCAAGATCATTGCCTCTCTCTATCACATGGTTTAACCCTGATCGTGATACTGCACTCTTCCTACTTTTTCCTTCTCTTCCTCCTCCCTCTCTTGGTACCTTTCTTTAACAGGAGGTTTCAAGTAGCTATGGCAACAACCCTGAGAATTTTCAGCTTACTAATTTCATCTGAAATCTGGGTCACTTCTTTCTCATTAAGTGAAACTGTTCTATGGAGATAACTGACCCAAACTCAGCCCTTGCTGCAAGAGAAAGCAGCACCAATTATGGCAGCACTTCCAAGCACTTATGTGCTATATTGGTCCACTGTATAGAAAAATGTAAATGTACAAAGCAGGTCACTTGTAATTGTGAAATTATTTTGTAATATTGGACACATTTAACCCATAACTTACTAAGGGAGAACTATGTTGTAATTTGCTTTAATGGGTGTGGATTTATAGGTTGGTTGGAATAGTTGTGCATCATGCTTGTTGTCCTAGAATATGTATTAACTGAAAGGATGCCTTTTCAGAGTGGTATTGAGTGATTTAAATGATACTGGTAGCCTTTCTCTCACTCTTTGTAGAGGACATGTGGGGTTGTGAAATCTTAAAGCTGTTTCCTGGCATGACAGGTATTAATCTCTCATCTGTCACTCTGTAGTCTGCCAGGATCTGAGATCCCAGTTTAAACACAGAAACATCTCCAGATTTTAGTGTGTAGCAATGCCAAGGGAATAGTGGGATTGTCTCAAACATTCCTTTCTTACATACTGATACACACTATATCTCCTTGCCCCTGGGATCACTTAAAATCCTAAGACAACTACTGTATTTGTTCATGGGGAAGCCATGTGAAGCAACAATGACAACGTATTTATGTACACAGTTGATGTTGGTCACCTGGAAGCAAATTACAAAGCCACTAGTGTGATTTGTAACCACTCTAATACTTTGTGTTTCTTATACTGTAAAATGGTAAACATCCGCATCAGCTCTTAGATGGATTATTGTTAAGAACACAAAGGGATTCAGTGATTTGGCAACGTATGTAATAGTGTTAACCAAGCCTCTGCTACCTGATCTGAGTGTATGATGCCACAGAGAGGTGAGCTCACAAAGCTGTTACTTACTTTTACATGTTTTATTAGCCACAATGAGCCACTAAAGGCTATTATCACCTTTCCTTCCAAAGCTCTGCAGTAGCTCATAATGTTACTGTGAACCACAAACACACCTAGTTACCAGGTGTCTGCCAAGCACTCCAAGAAACAGCTCTTACTTCTGTAGTTGGTTTTTGTATGCCTCATCTCCCTACATCAGAGATCTATGAGTGAGATCACTTTGTCACTAAAGAAGCAATGATTGTATCTGGAACAGTTTGAGTCACATCACTCTGGGTGATGAGCATGAAATGTCAGACAAATTAGAAGTGATGTTTCCTGAACTGAGGAATAAGAAAGGAGCTTCTTTTTCCAGCTTTTTGCTTCCTTGCTGTCTGTTTTGGGATTACCACTACCTGTCACTGTCAGAGATGCTGGCTTGTTGGGGGATGTTCGTAATTGAATGTTCAGGAGCATGGTCTCTTTTCAAGAGACACAAGGAGCATTCATTCCCACTGGTAAGCTGCTTTCCTTTCAGTGGGCTGTAGAGCTGCTTCTTTGTTTGATGTGAGATGTTTGCACCAAGCAGAATGGGCAAGTCCCTGAAGCAGCTCTATATTTTCTGTTTACCATGCTTCTAGTGGGTCTCTGTGAGAGATTCTTTACTTGGCATTCCTTGTAACCCTTTGGCTCAGCAATATTCATTCAAATATCCAGTTTCCAAAGGCCATCTGTGTTGCCTGTTTTTCATGGCAAAGTACTGACTTCCGTGTGGTATTTCATGATTGATAGTGCAGAGAATTAAGAATTGGTGTTGAAGAGAGAAACTAGGAAAAATAGATTTGGGGTGATTATGCCAACCTTTTGCTCAGTAAAATAGGAAAGCAAATAAAACCCTTTGCCTCCTTCAGGAATGGTGCAGCCCAGGTAGCAGCCAGCTGGAAGGAGGGGGCAGTGGCAGGATGGAAGCTGGCCTCTCACACTGCTCAGGGCTCAAGCAGCCCAGGTTTTACTGCTTTTCTCTGCTTCATAGCAGCAAGGTGGTGGGCTTGTTCACACAGAAAGAAAAGCACAGCTTCAGCTTGCAATCTGACATGTGCTTACGTGCCTGTCCTTCGTGTATGAGCAAAAAGCAGTAATCCAAGGCAGAGCTAAGCACTCCTGCATGAAGTCATGCAGACAGAAGTGTAGATCCAGGTTTAAATTGTCTGTACCCCTCTATTAAAAATTGGGAGGAAAAGAAACAAGAATAACTTTTTTTTTCTCATTTTTACATTTTGCTGTCAGATCCACTGTGAAATTGAGTATGTTTGCTAAAAATCACTGGCAATACTTCAATGCCATCATTTCTGTAGGCTATTCCCAGGCATTTTGGACCTAATATCTCGTCTTTCCATTGCTTACAGCAGCAGTCCTATCATGCTCACTATGCATAGGTTTCTGTAAAAGTAAACAGAAATTATACATA